ATGAATAGTAACCCCGTTTTAAACCAAATTTTCCAGATTGTAAAAGGATACCGATTCCCCTGCTACAGGGAATCGATTCCCCCACTGTTCACTGTTCACTATTCGGGTACTATTCACTATTCATAATTAAAAATATTTGAATTAAATTATTATAATGAAACGTAATTTTATATGATATGATATTTTTATAATATCATTTACTATTTTAAGAAAATAAATTTTAAATCGCTTTTGAATTTTGAAATGGTTTTAGAAAATACGGGTGACATCTGTAATCTGTATATGTATAAATATACGGGTTACGGGTGTTATAAGGGAGTTGTGTAAATGTTATCTATTTTTCATTGAAAAAAAAAAGAATAAATAAGTGAATTTGTTAGAAAATCCTTAGTGAGGTGCTAAGGTAGTGGATGTAGACTTAGTTGAGAAGCCGAACTACTATAAATCAATATGCCAATTTTTCTATATTTTCTTTCTCTTTACTCCCTAAACACAATTTACCATTTCACCCCCTTGTACAATTTTCGGTTGTCTAAATTGAGTTTCGAAATCCTAACAATTGGTATCAGAGCTTAACTCTTTAGAATGCTTCACATCCTTGAGACGATCCTAGAAGAGGCTCTACCGATTCTCGATATAATCGACAAGAATATTGCTTCGACCTCTGGCTCTTACAATTTTGAACATTCTCAATCGGTCAACAAGCCACTGTATTTTAATGGAGAAAACTACGCCTATTGGAAGAATAAGATTATGCTCTTCATTCAAGCCAATGATCTAGGAGCTTGGAACTCTATCTTGAAGGGTTATTCCACTCCACCCGGTGAGATATATGATTGGAGTGATCGAGAAAAGAAGAAGTTCCAACTCAATGCTAAGGCTATGCACATCCTCTTTTTTACATTAGGCATTGATGAATATGGAAGAGTCTCTTTTTGTTCCAATGCCAACGAGATATGGGACAAGCTCCAAGTCACTCATGAAGGAATCGATGAAGTGAGGGAAACAAATATAAGTCTTCTCAACCATAGCTACAAAAATTTCAAGATGAAACCGGATGAAGATATCAAAGCTATGACAAATATATTTTTCGTGATAGTCAACGGTCTAAAAGGATTTTGAGAAGTAATCTCTAATGAGAAGCTTGTGAGGAAGATGATATACTCTCTTCCAAAGTCTTGGCAATCAAAGAAGACAATTATCATTGAGGCCAATAATCTAAAGTCTCTCACTCTTGATGAACTTATTGGTCCTCTTCTCACTCATGAGTTGATGGTGAAGGAAGAGAAAAAGATGAATATAAGCAAAACAAAAGAAGAATGAGGTAGGCATTGCCTTCAAATCCACCAATGAGAGCAATAAAGATTCAAGCGAAGAGGTAGATGAAGACGATGATGAAGAAGAAGAGATGGTCAAGCTCTTCAAAAGATTCAAGAGATTCATGACTTCTAAGGAAGTGAAGCATGAATCGAGCAAGAAGAAGAGTGCCCCGGTGTTATTTAATTGTCAAAGAACGGGACATATCAAATATGAATGTCCCATCCTAAAGAAAAATGGATCAAGCAAGAAAAATGCATTCATGATTTTATTTTTAATTTTGTAGGGTGTTTTACAATAAGTCAAAACATTGGATTTGGTTTGTGAATGATTTTGTCTTGTTCCCATCCCTTTAAAGGTAATTTATTTTTTTTGTATTTATTATGTTTATTAAATTAATTTTTCAAATTATTTATTAACACTTTTTTTTTTTGTAAGGTGCCTTACAAGTTACTACAAGCATCATGCTAAATGCTTCTTGAATGATTATGTCTTGATTCTGCTTGATTTAGAAATGTTTGTTGAATGTTTGATTCTGTAAGGGTTTGATAAAGTCAAAAATAAATTGATGTAATGATGTTTATTGCTGCTTGTTGTTGGCTTGTAAATTATTATTGGTTTGATTGGAATAAATTGTTGTAACTTGTAAATTTTTTGTCAAAATGTTGCTCGTGTTAAATTCTGTTGGTGGCATTTCGGCTTTTAAAGCTGAAAAGTTTCCCGTAATTTAATAATGTTGGCATCATTTATATCTTTTGAGATAAAAGCTCGATGAAGAAATTTATGATAGCAAAGTAAGACTTTTAACCTTATAAAACTTTTGTTATAAGATCTGATAGCTTAGATTTTAATACATTTGTTTTTGTTCATTTTATTGTATTTAACTGTTATAGGTTTTATGTTATTCAAATTTTTAATCTCATGTTATTCAAATTTTCAATATTAAGTAAATTCATCTTTTATATTATCTTTTATATATATGTTCAAATTTTATGATAATTTGTCTTTACGTTATTAATTAATCATTACATAAAACATAAATTAAACTAATAAATATTTAAGTTAATTAAATTAATCATGTTCAATACATAAAATACTTAATAAAATTAATTTTATGATAATGATTAAAATTTATAATAATAGAATCATAATTAATATAATAAGTAAATTTATTAATTTAATTATATTATTAATAATTTATTATAGCATTGAAAAATTAATCATATTAATTAACATTATTTATTATAAACTCAAAATCTCACAACTTCCTCAAAATCTTATAATTTCATCAATGATAATTTATAAGTCAGATAAATATCATATCAGTTCAATAACAAGTCGGATCATTTACATGTTGAGTCAATTACAGGTCAAGTTCAAAACATGTCATGTTAAAAACAGGTCGGGTAATACCAATTATTTACCAGGTTAATATTGAGTTGGTTTCATATCAGTCGGATGCAGGTCGGGTTCGATTATCATATTTTTGGTTCAATTCAGGTTCAGATAATTATCATATCGAGTGTAGGTCGAGTTCAGATCCATAATTTTCATGTTCAATTTGTATTCAGGTCAACATCAGTTCCGACCCTCTAATTAATTTCTGTCAATTTTACATATTGGATTAGCTTTTACCATCCCTATACATGTGTTGAGAAATGTGCTTCATATGGCAGGCTTCATTGCATCAAACGAGACCTATGATAAATTCGATATGGGGATGCAATCCAATGCTACACATTTCCATAGTATTTTAATGGCTAAATATGATTTTAGTCCCTTTAGTATGCTAACATTTGGACTATAATTCTTTTGATTTGACATAACTTGATTATTTACTTTTATAATATTACTAATAAATCCAAATCGATAATATTGATATTTATTTTAGTTAAAATGGTTGGGTAATATTTATAAAGAAAAATGTATTTAACACATTCAATTAACATTTAAATTATTGTTATTTTTATATATAATTAATAAAAATTTCATATTATGCTAATTGTATAATCAAATAATGATTGCATTCACCATAAATTTTTCTTTAGTAAATTAGATGCTTACAAGTGATAGTATATTTTCTAAATACTTTCAATCATTTGACAACCTCTGACGTCTGAGAATAACAACTATTTATTTAATCACCGAGGATGCTTAATTCGTGCCATTCGTTATAAGTTATTTAAACACTCTTTCATGTCGATCAATACATGTTACCATGCCTATTAGGTTTTCACAATATGTTACACAAACGAAATTAAATATAATTTTTCTTATTATCATCAAAATTTTTCCACCCCTCAATCCATCTCAACCAGCTAAAAGAATTGCAACTTATTTGTCATTGTAATGACTTGACTTGAACAATGCGGTTGAACATTAATTTCATGCAATAATGATTAGGCATAAGCGTTGACATTTGCTTACATGTGGCAAAATAGTCCAAAATTTTCTTAACCTATTGACATATAAATTTTAATTCACTTCAATTTCATCCTTAAATTATTAGTATATCGATTTATTATCTTTGTTAATAAAACTGCTTATAAATTTGTTAAGTGTCTTGAAATCATCCATGTGGAGTATTTAAATAGTTTTTTTTAATAGTCTAGGGAATTACAAGGTAGTACATGTTCAAAACTTTCTTAACCTATAGACAACGCTCACATACCTTGCAGACGCAGCTACTTGAATTCAGGATCTCTAAGGAGAATAACCTTCTCATTTACCACAGAGGTCATTTTATGAGTATAGAGTATTTAAATAATTAAATAAATAGTTTTAACAAAAGTAAAATAATAACAAAAGCATCAAAATTGAGCATCTCACCTTTTCTGTTTGTTCTCTCCGGTTGAATTTGCTGATATTTATGTAAAAAAATATTATTAATTTTTTTAGTCTCCTTTTTATAACAAAAGAGCTTTTGAATCTTGAAGGATAAATTATATAAGGAAATGTCTTTAAAGATCTTGTTTTGTACATGCCTCAAGTTATTCTTCTGGTATCTTGATTCATCGATTTAGTATAAAATTTCTCATGATTAACAGTTTTTAAGGAAAGGGATTTGATTGGCATATACAAAAAATTTGGGGATGAAACTGAAATGATTTAAAATTTAAATCAATTTAAATTAAAAATTATAATTTAAGGATATGATACAATTAACTCTTAAAATATTAAAATTTCTAAATTTGAAAAGTCAAAGAAAAGAACTTGAATGTGCAACCTACTCAACGTCCAATAATATTTCTTTTCTTTATTTTTTATATTAAATATTTTCTTAAATTTGTGTTGACATATGTTTTCAAATGAAAAGAATTTTATTACTGGAAACAGAATTAAAATTTATCAGTTGAAAGATATGTTTATTTCTTAAGATGTATTTTTATCGAGTTATTCCAAAAATATTTATTTTGAAATATTATGTACATTCAACTTTAAAATATTATCTCGGTTGTCGAATTTTTAAGATTAGTTAAAAAGTTAATGAATGAGAACGTGATACATGATAATTTTGACTGATTGATTTTAATGAAAAGTGTAAATGAGATCATATATCTTTTAAATTTTATTTTTATTCAGTTTAATTCCTTAAAATTATTTAATCTAAAAATGATCCTATTTGCTTTTATTTTTATAATTTAATTAAATATTCAATACCATCCAATAAAATTTTCCTATTAATGAATGACGACTTTGCTGCAGATTTCTGGTATGTCTTGAAATATTTACAGGCACTGTAATTGCCTTTAAAATGGAACCAAATACTGATGGATGGGCATTGGTTTTTGAATTTCCCTACTAATTCCATGATATCAAAGCTACTAATTTGCTCTCTTTTCCTCTCTTGCATTCTTTGTAAGTTGGATCATGTTGAATCCAGGACATCAAGGAATGAGACTGAATTACAAGTATTGCTTGCCTTCAAGGCTCGAATACCAGTTGATCCTTATGGGGTCTTCACCTCCTGGAATGGTTCTCAACATTTCTGCAACTGGCAAGGAGTAACATGCGGTCGTCGGCATCGAAGGGTGACCGCCTTGCGGATATCATCACTCAAGTTGGCAGGTGACCTTTCTCCTCGCATAGCCAACCTCACCTTCCTTAGGGTGATTGATCTCGGGTCCCCCGACAAGTTACTCGATTGCATCGTCTAGAGGAATTGAGTTTGGTCAACAACTCCTTCCAAGGTGAACTTCCGAGAAACCTTTCACGTTGTTCAAACTTAAAGGTTATCAACTTAAACGGAAATGCACTCGGAGGGGAAATACAAGATGAGCTAGGTTCTTTGTCTAGGATCCAAATTCTTCTACTAGCAGCAAACAACTTCATAGGAACAATTCCCACTTCATTAGGGAATATCTTCTCTCCTATATCTTTCCATGGTACGGAATCACCTCGAAGGAAACATTCCTACGGAGCTCGGGCAACTCTCAATCTTGAAATTTCTTCAGTTGTCTATAAACAAGCTCTCTGGTACAGTTCCTAAGCGACTGTATAATATCTCATCCATTTATCTCTTTTCTTTAGCTGATAACCAGTTACAAGGCCAGATCCCTCCTTACATAGGCTTGACCCTTCCTAATCTTTAAGGCATTTATCTTGGGGGAAACAAGTTTTCAGGACCAATTCCGACCTCAATAGTCAGTTCCTCAGGGCTCATAGACCTTGATATGGGTTTGAATTCTTTGTCAGGACCAATACCAAAAAATTTGGGAAGCCTTTAAAATCTAGAAAACATCAACTTTGGCCAGAACTTCCTTGAGAGTTCCAATGATTTAAGTTTTCTCACTTCATTGATTAATGGCACCAATCTTAATCAATTATGGTTATCCAAAAACAACCTCACAGGTGTTTCTCCAGATTCAATTGGAAATCTCTCTACAAATCTCAATCAATTACTGATTGGAGCCAACTACATATCAGGTGTCATACCGAAAGAGATAGAAAACCTTGTAGGCTTGGAGTTCCTTGCATTATATGAAAACATGCTGACAGGCAGCATCCCTGATTCTATTGGAAAACTTTCCAAGTTGAAATATTTATATGCTTACAGAAACAATATCATAGGGGAAATTCCTCATTCTTTGGGAAATCTATCTCAACTGATTGTTCTCAGCCTATTTGATAATTTGTTAGGAGAAATACATGCATTTTTGGGTAACTGCAGTTATTTGGTAGCATTGGATCTTTCAGGGAATCGTCTTAATGGCACAATACCAAAGGAAACTATCGGTCTATGCTCCTTCTCAAGAGAACTCAACTTTGCTTCAAATAGTTTAACGGGAACTTAACCCCAAGAGGTTGGAAACTGCAAAAATCTCAATACGTTGCATGTATCATGTAACAAACTTCATGGCGAAATTCCAAGCTCTCTTGAAAACTGTGTGATGCTAGAATCACTTTACCTGCAGGGTAACTCTTTTGAAGGAACTATTCCCTCTTCATTCCAAATATTACGAAGCATACAAGTTCTTGATGTTTCCCACAATAATCTGTCAGGCCTAATACCAGAGTTTCTGGGGTGAACTTCCTCTTTTCATCAATCTCAACCTATCTCTTGATAGCTTTGAAGGCAAAGTGCCGACAAAAGGAGTGTTCAACAACATCAGTGCATTCTCGGTCATTGGAAACAGCGAGTTATGCGGAGGGATTAGGCTGCTTCGATTACCTGATTGTCCAACAAAAATTGCAAAGGAAGTGAAGAACTTTTCACTTAGAGTGATAATTGCGACTGGTATTGTCCTCTTTGTTGTTTAATTCTTAATTTCTCTCTTTGCAATCAAACGACGGGTCAGCTTTTCGAAAAGGAAAGAGGGAATTGCCATCCCATTGGAGAATAAACATCTGAAACTTTCCTACGCCGAGCTACTCCATGCAACAGACAGTTTCTCTTCAGCCAACTTAATTGGTAAAGGAAGATATGGTTCAGTGTATAAAGGGATTCTAAGTTCTGATGATCAAACAGCAGTTGCTGTGAAAGTACTTAACCGATCAGACTTTCAAGGCTGAATGTGAAGCTCTTAGGAAGCTTAGACAATGGAATCTTGTCAAGGTTATTACTTCTTGCTCGAGCATTGATTTTCAAGGTAACAATTTCAAAGCTTTGGTGTTCGAGCTCATGGAGCTTAGAAACTTGGTTACATCCAAGTTCAACCGATTTACACAACTCACCAAGCTTAAATCTAATTCAGTGGCTCAACATAGGCATTGATGTTGCCTTAGCATTAGATTATCTTCATTCCCAATTCGACAAGCCAGTCGTCCATTGTGATCTAAAGTCGAAAAATGTTCTTCTCGATGCTGACCTTACTGCCCACATTAGTGATTTTGGCCTAACAAGGTTTCTTTCGGAGACAACCAAGCAAACCATTACATAGCAAAGCAGTTCAATGGGAATAAGAGGAACCACGGGATATATTCCTCCAGGTAATTCCATTAGTAAAGTACTTGATGCATTTTTGTATTGATATAATGATATTCATCCTAATGACATATCTACACACGGTGATGTGTACAGCTATGGCATAGTTTTAATGGAGTTGTTTACAGGCAAAAGACCCACCGATAGCATGTTTACGGGAGAGTTGAGCCTACGTATGTTAAAACAGCCATGCCTGATCATGTGGCGGAGATAGTTGATACTCGGCTCAATTTTGAAGATGAAGCAGCCGTCAATCAAAATGGTCAAAGCAGCAGAGGCATCGACAACATCTGGAAATGCTTGGTCTCGGTTCTTAGCATAGGAGTGTCATGCTCGGCTGATTCGCAAAATGAAGAATGAACATGTTCATCACAGATGTGCTGAGAGAACTTCAAAAGGTTACAAATATTCTTCTCGGAGATCAAAGGAGAAGAGTGCACGCGTCAGTGCATCAAAGAAGATAGAAAGTTGCACCAAAAAATGCTATAAATATGATATGGGGATGCAATGCTGCTAGGCATTCCCATAGTTTGTATTTTCTCAAATTAGATTAAATAAAGGGCTAAATAATGTTTTAGTCCCTCTACTATGCTGAAATATGAAATATAATTCCTCTAATTTGACAAAATTTGATTATCTTTTTCTATAATATTATATAGATCTAAAATGATAACATTGGCAGTTGCTTTAGCTAAATTGATGATATGGAATATTTTTTAGAAAAAAAAATACCTCAAAGCATACAATTCAACCAAAGCCGTTATATGAATTGGCTAATCGAATAATAAACGATGATGTGAAATTTTAGCACTAATCCTTAGGGTGAGCAAAACTCGACTCGACTCGAAAAATCGATTTTTTCGACTCGACTTGAATTGACTTCAAGTTGTAATTTAATAAATTCGACTCAGTTCGAAAAAATTTTAAGTTCAAATCGAGTTATAAAATACAACTCAAATAACTCAAAATTTTAATGATTAGTGGATTGGTTTTCAAATTTGAGTCAAGTTATTCGACTCTGTATGTATATCACATACGAAAAATATATGATGAAATATATATGTATTGTATATGGTTATAAAAAAATCATTTAAATTGAAAATAAATAGTATCATAATATTATAAATATTTACAATTAAATTTAAACAGAAATTAGAAAAAATTTCAAATCAAGTTCGAGTTATAAAATATGACTTGTCAACTCCAATAACTCAAAAAATTTTGACTCGACTCGATAGAACGCTCACCCCTACTAATCCTTAATATTTATTTATGGATTTAGGTTTGATCGAAAAATAGTAAAAGAAGTCTATATTCATTACTTTAACCCCAAAAAAGAACTAACGTTGTGACCTATTAGTAACAAAATCAATTTTTTTGGCTCTAGTTCATGTGTTGAAAAAAATGAAATATCTAATATGTTAAACTCGAATTACTCATATGGTAAGTATAAATATATTATAATCTCAGTATGTATTATATATATCAAATCGAATTTATATCTAATGTCTGAAAAAATATAACTAAATTGATACTGAAATAATCATTCTTCCATGTCAAAATCTGAAAGCAATGGGGCAAAAGTCCACTGCCGTTGGTGCTTGACGATGGAACTTGGCATTAGTTTAGTCTTAGGTAAGTTGAAGACTTGAAGTTGGATATGTTAATATGAATAACGTTTTACGTCAGTCTGCAAAATTTCCTACTACGTATGACTTTGGTGGATATTTTTAGTATACCTTGAAATATTTGGACACTTTAATATCCTATAAAAACGAAGCAATGCTGATGGAGGAGCATTGGTGTTTGAATTTGCCTACTAACACTATGATCGTAAAGCTACTAAGTTTCTCTTCTTTCTTCTTTTGCATTCTTTGTAAGCTGGATCAAGTTGGATAATAACGAGGAATGAGATTGAAATACAAGCATTGCTTGCCTTCAAGGCTCGAATACCGGTTGATCCTTACGGGGTGTTAAGTTCTTGGAATGATTTTCAAGATTTCTGCAATTGGAGAGGAGTAACATGCGGTTGACGGCATCAAAGAGTGACTGCCCTGCATATATCATCACTTAGGTTGGGAGGTGACCTTTCTCCTTACATAGCCAACCTTACGTTCCTTAGGGTGATCAATATCGGGAACAATAGCTTCTGTGGTCCGATACGCCAAGAAGTTACTCGATTGCATCGTCTAGAGAAATTGGTTTTGGCTAACAACTCCTTCCGAGGTGAACTTTCGAGAAACATTTCTCGTTGTTCTAAACTGAAAGTCGTCCACTTAACCAGTAATGAACTCGGAGGGGAAATACATGCTGAGCTTGGTTCGTTGTCTTCTACTATCCGGGAACTTCATAAGAAAAATTCCCACTTCATTAGGGAACATCTCTTCTCTCATTTCTCTTTCTCTCCAGCAGAACCAACTCGAAGGAAACATTCCTACAGAGCTCGGCAGCTCTCCAACTTGAAATTTCTTCAGTTGGCTATAAACAAGCTCAATGGTACTGAAGATACTCATTTTTTCATTTAAATATTATTTATATTATTATTATTATTATTATAATTATTATTATTATTATTATAATTATAATTACTAATATTATTATTTATTATTAATATTATTATTAAATATTATTACAAGCCCAAATCCAACAGTAACCGGCCCAAATCCAGAAATCCAATGGAAACCCTAAACTAGATTAGAGTTTCCCTCTTCCCAGTCGCCTCAGCTTGCTGCCGTTGGATCTGGCAAGATCCAACGGTCCAGAGATGCCCAACAAGGAAGCCCTAGGGTATCATAACCCTAGGGACACGTCCCAGCTGCCAGTGCCACGCCGCGACGCCGCCGCCTTGCTGAAGAATCCAGAAGCTTTGTTGCTTCAACACTAACCGCACACGTCTCCCCAAATGGTGAGTCACCACTGGAAGTCCGGTGACTCACCGAAGAGCCCTTTTGGGACCGGTCCGATGGCCACACTGGTGATGGCTATAAAGCCATCACCCCATCTGCAATCAAAAACAGAGAAGAACGGGGAGAGACGAGGAAACAACAGAGACAGAGAGAGATACAAAAACTACCAACGATCCCAGTCAACAACAACATAGCAACAACAACAACAAAAAAAGAGTAAAGAAGCTTACCAAAGAAGCCTTGACCATCGCCGGAAACACTAAACATCGCTGGAGAACATAAAATACCGAAGGTATTTTCATAGATTTACTCCGATTAGGAGTCTTTTTGGAGAAACAAAGGCCGGATTCGGTCTTAGGGTGTTTAGATCTACATTTTAGGTGAATTTGGAGAATTTCCGACCACCGGAGGCGGTGGTCGGCGGGGGAATTTACGGCGGCAGACGACTGCCGGATTCCCTCCGATGAGGGAATATAGAGAGAGGCCAGAGAGAATTCTGGCTCTCTCTCTGCTTGAGAGAAAAAAAAAAGGAAATGAAGGCTGGCCCTTCGGGCCAGCCGTTTTGGACCTTAAATAGGCCTTCCCGAACGGCGTCGTGTCGGGAAGGACTATTTGTGCAATTTTAAATTGTTAAATCCCGTCCGCAGCCATCAAGATTTGTAAACTTTACATTTTAGTCATTAAATCAAGTTTATAATCTTTTTAATTCAGATCTTTAATTTTAATTTCATTTATTTTAGTCCTTTATATTAAAATAATATATTTAGGATAAATAACAGATTTAATCCCTTAATTTTAATAAATAATATTTTAATCCCTAGTTTATATTTTTAATTTATTTTAATCTTATATTCAAATTTTAGATAAGTTTATTTTAGTCACTAAATTAATAAAATAAGAAAATAGCATGTTTAATCACTATAATTTTGATTAATTATGAATTAGGTTTTTAATTTTAATTTTACTATAATTTAGTCACTTATTTTAAATGTTTTTTTTATTTCTTTTATTGCTTTTAAATACATAGTTCTAATTGTATTTATTATTGTAATTTTACTTGTCTAAATATTTTTATTATTATTATGTAGTCATAAATATATATATAATAAATAAATATTTATTTTTTTTAAATAAATTATTTTTAACATTTTTCAATATCAAAGGAAAGGGCAGTCTTAATACAACTGGATGTCCTATTCTGGTATTTTAAAATTAAATATTATAAAAAATTTATTATTTTTATTCAGATTAATATTTATCAATATCAAAGAAAAGAGCTGTCTTAAGGCACCTAGAAGTCCTTTTCCGATATTTTTAAATATATTTTGAATTTTTTTAATTTTTAATAATAGAGACAATTTATAATTAAAAAGTACCAATTTTGGGCGTTGTAGGGGTGCTAATCCTTCCCTAAACGTAATCGACCACGAATCCCTTTTTACTATTAAAAAGAACGAATTTTTGGTTATAAACGCAGATCAGTTCATTTTTTTATTGGTGTTTTCTTAAAACTCTTTTAAAAAAAATAATTTTTAGGTATTCGACCTACCTGACCCAAAAGGCCGATGGCGACTCCCAAATTATTTTCAAAACCATTTATTCACATCAATTTTCCCGCCAAATTTAAAATTTCGTGCCCGGACGAAAACCGGTTACGACAGTTTGGCGACTCCGCTGGGGACTGGTCAAACTTTAAAATCAATTATAAATTGTCTCTATTAATTATTAATTAAAAGTTCATATATTTAATTTTTAATTCTTTCTTTTCAAAATTTTATATTTACTTATTATATGTTTCATTTTACTTGTAAGTATTTTATTTCTTTATGTATTTATCTGTCAAAGGTTTGAACATTTCTCCTCACACACTACACTTGCATTGCATAACATAAAGCTCTATAATTGAGTTGTCCTTTTTAAGTGGGAGTGAAAGCGACGTCTTCGTGAGAATTATTCTTCGTGTCAGACCTAGCAAGTAACTTTCGGGGTTCATATGCTCTATGTCTTCGTGAGAATTTATTCTTCGTGTCAGACATAGAGAAATGTATCCCCTCGAATTGAACTCGATCCATTTTAGTCTGTGATGGACTAGGATTGAGGGTTAGCAACCTAAGGGGGCACTAACAAGGACAATTCGGGTACCTTTATTCTTAGATCTGAAACCCTGTATATAATAAACCCTAGAAACTCTTCCGATCCGAAGTCATGCCGAAATTTTGTCCAAAATAGGTGTACACACAGGAGAAATGAATTCTAACTTTCCTGTTAATTTATTTATTTTCTTTACTGATTAAATTACATGTACATTTAAATTATTTAAATTATGAAAAAGCATGTTTAAATAAAAATATTTAGGTAAATGTTATTATTAAATTTCTTTATTATGTAAACTAATTCATTTCTTTTTGTGTGTTCTTTATTTTTCTGTTTGCATAGCATCATACAGGATAAAAG